ACAAAAATGTGCCTAAAATGGAAAATTAGTTCAAAGATATCTGACCTACCAAAACAATAGGAGAGAACCATTGGAATACATTTTTCCTTACGCAAATTTTAAGAAAATGACTGGCCCTTGAAGTATGTTCTTTCAATGATCGACATCATAAAATGGAAAACGTGGAAAGAAGAGTATAAGAAAAAAGAAAAAGGAGAGCGTAGTGCACTAAGTTTCCGCTCGAAAGTGATTGGACAGTTGGGGACCTTCCCTCGTAAGTAAGTTTCATTAGTTCTGTAGTGTATTCGGCAAACATTTAGCATTTCATTTTTACCATTACTACATTTTTCCTCACGCAAATTTTAAGAAAATGACTGGCCCTTGAAGTATGTTCTTTCAATGATCGACATCATGTCAAAAACACAAGCAGTGAAGACTCCCCCTTTGCCTGCTCATACATCCAAAGTCCTTCAAAACTTACTTCGGAATTTCTGAAAAAGAAAGTCCGAATCTTGCACTCAAACAGTCAAGCCAGTGTGTTGCGCTTAAAATGTCGTCATTACTGTAATACATGACTCCTACTATAATGACTCCTTTTTAAGCTTTGATCACACCAACTCTTCCCATGATGAATAGATAGCTGCGCGTGGCTCACCTGTAATCAGTTAGNGTTTTTGTGCCGACTTTCACATATGCGTTTCTTTTCATGTTTTTACATGCCGCTTTTAAATACGATAATCGAGATTTTGGTTTAGACGAAATATTTTCAAGGTGAATAGTTATGTAGTTTGTAGCTGACTCAATCTGTCTCACGACAAACAACGTCGTCGGAAACATCAAAACTTCTGCTTCATTTTCATACTCTGAAATACACGGTAGATCTTGTGAAATTTTCCCTAAATTAATCGCCGTGTCACAGTTTTCGGAAAAATTAAAAGCCATGAGAACACTTCGCCGATCATTGGTGATTTGGCCGATTCCAGCGAATCTCTCAGCTACAGAACGATCTAAAGTTGTTGAGCAAAATGTTCGTGTTTCGATAAAGCCTTTACTTTTTATTGCCCAACGATAAGCGCGCAGACCTTCTTCTGCCATTTTTACGCCACGATACGAAACACCTTGAAAATGACGTGGTTTCAGTTTATTCAATGTAAATAAGAGCGGGTGAAAGAGTGAACGGGCATCATTGCCTAATATGCCATAAAGTGGTGTTTCAAGTGTGTACAGACGAAGTAAATATTCAGGCTGGTCTTGTTGTCGATCGAAAGCTTTTTCAATTAGTGTCTTACACTTTTCAAATTCTCGATGTGTTTGAGGAACATGTTCGGTCAGAAGTTTATTGAGATTATCCGTAAATTCTCTGTGGAATACTTCTTTTCCAAACATCGACGCAAGTAATTTCGATTGAACAATAGCTTTTCCAGCAGAGAAGTCTGCTTTAACATGTTCAATTTGTTCTGACGTTTCATAACCCACGAGCCATTGATCGTTGGAAAAGTCCTCGTCGGCGGTTGCAACGTCCTCTTCTTTCATTTCCGCTTTCGTTGTCACTTTGAATATATTTCCTGCATCATCGGACGCGTCACAAAATCGATTTTTTTCCGACGGACGATGAAATAGTTGACGTATTTCTTCACTCTGTGCTTCTTCATAGGCAGTGAGCCCGTGTTGATTTAGGCACTCTCTTCGACAGCCATGTTCGCGTAGAAGGAGACCGACAATTTGGCTGTGTCCGTAGAATGAAGCTGCGTGAAGGGGTGTACTACCATTTGGTTCAAGTCGATTTAAATCTATCCAGGGAGTTGTCAATAGAAGTTGTTTAACACGCTCCACATCTCCATTTCTACAGGCCCAATAAAATTCACTTGCTTCACCTTGTTGAGGATGACGAAGAATACGCTGTACTTCTGGCATCGGACTACTTTCGGCGTTTCCCATGTCACTCGTCTTTGATCTATTCAAAAGAGTTAGCACATTACAGGATCAAAGAGAAGATTACTAAATCGTGCGAAAAATCTACCAGTGAGTGTAAACCTGTTCCATTTCTTTATTAGATAAGAAAACTATAAAGCGGTCATTTTTCGTACGAAATCTTCCTAAGTCCAGTTTATCTCATAGTTTCGAAGGATAGAGGTCGATTTTTGCTCAGTATTGCACTTTTATCGCGTACTTCTGTACATGTCTATGCCTGCGCATAAGATAAAGTGTATAGTTGCATTTTTTAATATATAACGAACGTGAACAGACCAGTCTAATGAATTTATGTTTATGTTTATCAACAAAGAAGGAATACTTGTGGTTTTACCAAATAACGTTGCTGCGCATTTTTTTCAATTTAAGGACAGTTGCCAAAACTTAGACCAATTATGTATACTTTCTAAATTCGAGCTCATGATGCTCGTTGCGCTTAAAATGTCGTCATTACTGTAATACATGACTCCTACTATAATGACTCCTTTTTAAGCTTTGATCACACCAACTCTTCCCATGATGAATAGATAGCTGCGCGTGGCTCACCTGTAATCAGTTAGATGAAATGAAGCGTAAAGACTATTTTATTGTAATGAGTAATAGGGGAAAACGAAAGAAGAACAGTATCATCATTTGAAAACATAATCCTGTACACAGAACAATAAATAATGAAGACGAGGATTATGTTTTCAAATGATGTTTGTTTCTTGAACTTCAAGACATCTTTATCTCCTATCCACTCTTCAGTTTCCTGTCAAAGCAACGCGCGAGCTAGACACTAGCTCGCCGGAACTACCAGGTTCTTGTTTTGCTTTCTTTCTGACTGATTTTGAAAAATCGATTGCAGGAGCGCCTTTTTTACTTACTAAAAAATCATTTTCTCCTTCACTTTTAGTTCAAACATAAAATCTTTCAAAATTCGAGTTTAAAAAAAAGAGAAATGCAACGAGTTTTGAAATATAGTACATAAGATAGGCTTTCTTCCACGACAACGAAAAGAGGTCACAGTGTGGAACTCTAGCGGCGTTTATGTGGATTTCGTTGTCTATAGACAGATATCATAAAGCAACTGGATCAAGAAATTTCAACGACCATTCGATAGTGTATTTTAACGCAGTAAACTTGGTTTGTGTTTGTCACCATATATATAGGTTTTTGTGCCGACTTTCACATATGCGTTTCTTTTCATGTTTTTACATGCCGCTTTTAAATACGATAATCGAGATTTTGGTTTAGACGAAATATTTTCAAGGTGAATAGTTATGTAGTTTGTAGCTGACTCAATCTGTCTCACGACAAACAACGTCGTCGGAAACATCAAAACTTCTGCTTCATTTTCATACTCTGAAATACACGGTAGATCTTGTGAAATTTGTGAAACAGAAGAACACCTGCTAAATTCACGATCTGCATATTTTTTTCTAGCATCGGGTAGGTTGGGAATTTTTATTTTACACAGATGTTCAAGCTAATCATTGATTAACAAAATACAATTAGAAGCAAAGCTTACTTCTTAATGGCTAAGGAATAAAGAACTTTATACTGAAACAGTGTCAAAATTGACTAAAACTTAATATTTTCACTTTCTCTCATTAAATATAAAGAACTAAATAAAACTAAAAATATTAAAAGATGCGCCATAAAATTCTCTAGAAAACCATATATTCGGTTTGTTGGTTTCTTGTAATTTTCAAATCCGGTAGGATCCTTTGAAATTCGTCATCAGACTATTTCTCAAAACACTAACTCAAATTTATCCGTATTTTTAAATAAAATCGAGCGACAAGTGTACAGCTAACAATGATTGCTCCTAACGTGATCCTCGTGGCTCCTATGGACTCCATGATCCTTTTTCCTTGCGGATCCTTTTTCCGACGTCCTTTTTTCGTACAAAAAGCCTCTAAAAATATATTTTGCTGTTTGTTTTTCATTTAGAATGGATCCTTTTCAGGCGCATATCTGGTGACGATATTTTTCCTACTTGCTGATTGTGTTACTTATGATGCATATGACGATTGCTATTACAACAAGAAGTCTTTTTAATCAATAACACATTGATATATGAACATGATATTTGTCGTCTACCGTGTTAAATTTAATTTCATCGATTGAAAATGTTCGCCCTGGTGGTATGAGAACTTCTTCTTCTTCGGGAAAATTGGAAAATGACGAAATATCGAGGCCATTGACGTATAGACCGTCTATCGTAATTATGAATAATGTGTTCCCGTAAATATTTGCCATATTTCGATTTTTTGTGGTTGACACAAAACTGTCCCATTGTTGAAAGATACCGCGTGCTTGTTGATAAAGTTTGACTTGTTCGGAACTGAGTAGTATACCACGATACACAATACCCGTGTACCGATATTTCGACAATAAAACGAAACTACGATTCAGAATTGAACAAAATGGTCCTAATGTATTGACTTTTGTTGTATCACGATTGCTCAACACCTTATTAATTAATTTGTACAAAAAGGTTTCTCTAGTGTATAAATTGAAACAGAATTTTTGAATTTCTGTGAAATCATTATTGGCAACTGACATTAGAAGATCGGCAATTTCATTCGCTTGATTCATGTAAATATCGCCGCCCAACTTTTCACCTTCAATAACGATGCCTTGAGCTGCTTTTTCTACTTTTTGATTTGTGCAAAATAACCAATGTTCAGCTTCCCATTGACAATAGTCCCATTCATCGAGAAACTTGCTCTTCTCAATCCATTCGGCTTCACTGTACGTGTCTGAATTCGATAGTGATAGCACTTGTTCCTCAAATGCAAATCGCTGGATTCTCAAACTCATTTTTTTTCCTGTTACCTTGCCTTGTGTAAAAAAGCATTTTACACATCATACAAAAAACATTTCTTTTTTCTTTTTGTTTGTATGTACTTTTTCTCGTTCATTTCACGTCTTTAGGTCGTCTTTGAATTGGCTGTAAAAAAAAGAAAGAAATGATGCCAATTTTTTCAACGATATTCTCTGAATTTGGAGAACAATGAATGACTGAAGCAAACTGAGTCATGAAAATAAACGATGTTTTCCTCTCCTATGTAATGCAGGCAACACGTTGTTGTTGTCGATGTCGGACGCTTAACCACTATTTCTTGATTTTCACTAGATTTTCAAAGCCGATATTTTTGAGATACCGACGTACTGTTGCTATCGAGACTGGGTTTGGTATACTGCTGTTCGAATTCGATTCGATTTCGCTAGCACTGAGACAGGAATCCCCTTTGATTAAGCGTTTCCAGTGACGAAGATCACGGCCAGACATTTTTTGGGCGTCCCCTGCGCTTCAGATCATCGTATCGATCGAGTTCTTTGAATTTCTTGACGGCATTTTGTACATAACATCTTGAGATCTTAAGTTTCTTCGAAATTTGTACCTGGTACGAATCAGCACCGTGTAAAGTCGACACTAGGGCCCGAAAAACTGGATCACTAGGCTTGTTGCCCATGAACAGTTCGAATAATAGTAAGATGCGCAAAATATACCTAAAAAACAGGCAAAAACGTTGTCTTTCGTATTTTTTTCGAGCATAAAGCGAAGTTGTCGAAAGATGCGTGAAACTTTTGATCGCTGGAGAAAAATGATTTCTCCCAGAAAAATGAAAAAGCTAACCTTCTGAAATTTTGGCACATTAGTTTTGTCACCCGTTCTGAGAGCTATCGAAATCATCGATTGGATGTCGTTATCAAGTGGTCTTTCACAGAGTAAAGTGAAAAACAAAAAGTGCCTTAAAGTTTTAATTCCCAGTTTACAAACATATTATTATGCCCAATATTCATCGAATAATTTCGCTTTGTCTCCAGCATCAATGTTTTATCAAACTCTTGCTTGAATCATTCCCATCACGTTCGCTCACAAGCCTCGAAACTCTCATGTTGAACAGTATGGAATCCGGATGAACTTATTCCAATACTTACCAATTTATTTTTTTTACCTAATTTACAGTCCTTGATCATCAATGTCATTGATAAATTGCAAAAGAAAGATATTTTTCGTCTGATGTATTTTTGAAATACTGCAAGTTGGCATTAAGGTCACATAGCAACTCAGCTCGAATATAGGCTGCTAGAGAAGACCAACAGAGTACCATTGCACGTCTCATAGTTGGGCATCGATGTCATCTCGATGAACTTGGCGATATTCTTTCGCATACGCCTCGACTTCATCGTCTCTCATGTCATTATTTTGATAGATCTTTCGGTACTTACTCAGTACTTGACTACCAACCCATGTTTTTCAGGAAGTCAAAATCTGCACAAGTTCTTTAAAGATTCTGCTTCTTGAAATTTCTTGGCCAAGATCCTTATACAGAATTTTCAAGAACAGCAAGTTCAAATACATCAACGAATCTGATCAACATCTTGATCAAGATATATTACAGATCCGAGTCTGACATATCTTCAAAATTCTGTATCAAGATCTTGAAAAGATTTGGGAACTTTTGTGAACTCATTAATATAATTATTAATTACGAAAATTAGTTCCATATTTGGACAAGGTAGGTGAGAGAACGATAACTACAAGAATTTCACACATATTGATATTCTGTGTGATACTACATTATAGAGGGTCTGACATTGAATTCTATTGGCCTACTAGATGCAGAAATTAATAAATTATATTTGTTGTTGTCTCGATCACCGTTTTTGTTTTGCAGTGCCGATATATATATATATATAATCTACACTGTAAAAAAGTTCAGAAATCTTCAAGTTCGTTACGGACGTTCGACTGAACAGCTTCGGTATTGTCTGAAAGGTACTGTAAGAGCTGTGAATGGTGGCGTACTATATAGCACAGTACTACAGGGTGCCCCATAAAATACAGTAGATAAAAATAAAAATAAATGAAAATAATACGTAACCAACTCAAAAACTATTCAGGATCTATACAGATATCGAAAATCTGTCAAGATTCTGCTAATTAATTAATAACGCATTAGTTACTTCGTTAGAATCAGTTACATATCTTGATCAAGCTGTTTCAAGACAGATTCTGTAACAAAACTTGTTGGCAATCTTGAACTGCAAGATGATCTCAGAATCTTGTCAGATATTGATAAATATGCATAAGATCTTAGAGGAATTGAACAGAAACTTCAGAAATCTTTTAAGTTTTTATCAAGATTTGCAGTCAAGATTTTTTACTTGGGCACAGGGCTGCCGATTTTTTCTCTAATACTCGCCAGTTTTAGTTTCTAGTATTTAACATCCGTGATCTTCCTTGTTTCTTCATACTTCCTTTTCTAGTATAGTACTCGGCTTGCTACTGTGTTATCCGCCCATCATGTGATATTATTATTGTTGCTAAATGATGGTTTCCGTGCAATGATATAAGTGTCCATACGAATAGTATTCGATAATCTAGAAGCTAATCTCATTTTTTCATAACTAAAGACTTGAGAAAGCCACTAAGCATGGTTATTCAGCAGCTAGTCGCATTTCTCTTATAATGATTCTCAGATGTAGGTATGTCAGTTGTCTTATTGACTCTGATCCTGAGCATCTATTTTTACTGTTTAGCTTTGCTTTTAAACATAATTTTTGCCTGTAATGTCAAATGTTTTCTCATTACTCATGGTTTCTAAGCATAGTAAAGAATTTTGTCTGTTATTTAAATGTGTACTTTATTATTCTCAAAAAGAAAGAAAAAGTAAACCGCTTTGTTCTTTTTCCTTTAAGACAGAAATGAAACCAAATTAAAAGTAGCAAAGCCTCTTTTTGTTTACTTCATCAAGAATATGAAAAAAAGAATAATTCCCAATCTATCACATGTTGGATATTTTCAAGGGTGATGTACACTACTCAGGGGAGGAATATTATTATCACTACTTCCTAACTTGCGAGGAGATTGCCTTTGGTTGCAAATCGCTTTTGCGATGAGATTAAAAGTGGCCTATAGGTAGTCGAGGGTACTGAATCCGAATATGCTACTCATTTGGACTGCTAGGCCTTCTCGGGTGGTTTTCTGTAAAATCGAGTTTCCAATATGAAAAACTGTTGTTTTCGAAATCAATTTTCTGATATCGCTGGATAATAGAGCACATCGAGCTGGTTATGTACATGAATTCTTTCGATTACAGGACGACTGTTGGCCGAGTTTAGTGTCTTCATGTACTTGTAGAAAAAATAAACAAATTTCTAATTTACTGTGCTGTTTAAAAGGGTTCTATCATAGCTCTTTAAACCAGGGTCTTTGAAAAACCAAAATCTCAGAAAACCAATCTAAATCTCAGAAAGTTCAATCTAACAATTCATTGCAAAAAGTCCATTCTGTAGAGCAAACATTTCTGAAGAAAATAGGACGTTTGCGAGCTCTTTACTGTTTAGTGAATCAGCGGTTTTTTTTCAATCAGTCTTGAATTCTCTCTATAAAAAGCTCATTAACAATTTTGCAAACCTATCTAGGTTTTTCTTTGAAGAGATGAAGTTGATTTTTGTACTTCATTAGAATCGCCATCGAACGGGCATTAAAATTACATATCCCTTTCTTTTCCATTGTCCTTTGTCACTGAGATAGTTCATATTTTGCTGAATCAGGAGAGTAAATATCGGAATTCTGCCCGCGATTCCCGATTTTCTTCATCAGAATTCAACTTCTGTGCAATAGACATATCATATTCGGAATCAGCGTCGCAAAGTGAATCGAATGGTGTACTTTGTTAGCCTATCCAATTACTTTGACTTTTTTGAATTTTCACGTTGAAAGATTTTCACCAAAAAATGCAAATCAACAAAAAGCTTCGGCATATACATCATTCGATTCACTTTGCGACGCTGATTCCGAGTATGATATGTTTATTGCACAGAAGTTGAGTTCTGATGAAGAAAATCGGGAATCACGGGCAGAATTCCGATGTTTACTCTCCTGATTCAGCAAAATATGAACTATCTCAGTGACAAAGGACAATGGAAAAGAAAGCGATATGTAATTTTAATGCCCGTTCGATGGCGATTCTAATGAAGTACAAAAATCAACTTCATCTCTTCAAAGAAAAACTTAGTAGGTTTGCAAAATTGTTAATGAGCTTTTTATAGAGAGAATTCAAGACTGAATGTAGTTTTCTTTTTCTATATTTGTATAATATACCATTCGATTTCGTTTTGTCTGAGGATCAGGAATATTCTCTTATTTTCACAGAAAGACGTATTGTAAATGAGAAAAATCAATTTTAAAAGGAAAAGGATCAATGACGTATAAGAAGCTTTTACAATGTCTGACTTTTTTGAGCAGAGGCATACACTTTTTAAAGATCGACATAGTATTAACACAAAGCCCTGACTCGCGCGCATTTTCTAGCATAAGGCCCAAGTTGGTTCATTTTTCATTTAATTTTTTACAGAAGAACGCCTGCTAAATTCACAATTTGCATATTTTTTTCGAAATATTCTTTTTTTCTAGCATCAGTTAGGTAATTCACACGGTTTACGCCATTGTCATCATAGCGAATATAGTAAATAATACGGTTGTGTGAGAGATCAATATCTATTTTCACACCTTATGCTTTGTGTCAAGAGTTAGGTCATTGGTTTCTATTACCATCAAATTATTGTAACATACGAATAAATTTTGTTATTAGCCGTAATTTTATACTTCGTTTTATCATTATAATGTTATTTGAGACAACTTTCCTGACAACTTTTCAGAGAAAGTAGTAATCTATAGTCAAAAAAAGTCGACCATGAAAGATGTTGCTGATTCAAATTTTCCTTGTTTTTGGCGTAACTGTAAAATATTTTTTCGTAATCTTTCACACTAACTTATAAATGTTCAGAAGTTTTTATATTTCTTC